AGTACTTTGCGATTCGTTGCCTTGTGTTGGAGTGGCTACTGATGTAATGGGTTTGCTCACATCCCTTTTTGAATCCTCGAAATGTAACAGCGTGTTGTGTTTTTTGTTGCATTTCAGACAGTTTCTTAATATACAATTTTTAGAACCATGTCCTGGTTTTAGGCAATTGTGGCAATATTTCTGCCCTTGTATGAACTGAAAGCGTGCCGATGGAGACTGTTGTAAAAATTCCTTGCAAGAAAATAATGGATGTTTTCCTTTTTTGCACATGCTGCAAGTGTCATTTCTATGACCTTTGGATGTGACTGAAGTGCACACCTTTGCAGTTGAGCTTGTAGATTTGTCTTTGACACCCATCGCTTCCATGGATTGAAAGTGTTTCTCCAGAAATTGCAGGAATTCCTTGAGTGTTTGTACCTCCCGTGGCTTTGATAATGATTGTTCGTACCGCAAACGAGTCGGTTGATCCAGTTTCTTTAGTAGAAGGGGGAGCAGAAGTGGATCCCATGTTGATGTGTCTATCTGCAAATTTTGCAATGCTAATAGACATTCTTGTGTTGTGTCATGCAGTTTTTTGACATTGTCCATTGATGTGCTTCCAGGTGTAGTAGTTAGCTCATGTACTAACTTGCTCACCAGCAAGCGTTTGTTGTTGTAACGCTCCAGAAGCATGAACCAAGCTGCATCAAAATTCTCTCCTGNTGCAAATTTTGCAATGCTAATAGACATTCTTGTGTTGTGTCATGCAGTTTTTTGACATTGTCCATTGATGTGCTTCCAGGTGTAGTAGTTAGCTCCTGTACTAACTTACTCACCAGCAAGCGTTTGTTGTTGTAACGCTCCAGAAGCATGAACCAAGCTGCATCAAAATTCTCTCCTGTTGATGCGAAATGTTTAATTAAATTTCCAGCCTCCCCCACTAAGTGAGTTTTCAAGTACCACATTTTCTGAACTTTTGAGAGAGGTTGATTTATTACTAGTTGCGAGAATAGGTCATGAAATTCTTGCCATTTTAAATAGGTGCCATCGAATTTTGGAATTATTATCTTCGGCAATGAAATGGATTGCAGTTTAATCGGAAGTTGGTTTGAAGATTGCTCAGTATGGGAGTCACTATTAGCTGCTTGCAAAGTACTCCATACCTTTTCCTCAAGTGAAATGAAGTTATCGACCTTGTAGCCCTGCTCGGTTGGGTTGTCGAACATCTCATATATCCTGAAGTGAATGTCTTCTATATTTTCCCACAGTTTATTAATTGTTGGAACACATCGTGGTGAAACGTTGTCGTTCAGTAACCGTCGCAACGAGGCCATCATTACCCCTTGTCTGCGGACTAGTTTAGTGTACTCGTTGGAAGCTGCCTGTTTGGTTCCAGTATCATGCCGTGCTTCTGTGTTGACTTTTGAAGCTGAAGCATCATGTTGGTACGTACTTCCTTCATNTGTTATAGTAGTCCTTTGTAAAGTAGTAGTGATCCAGCTGGGGGTTTTCAAGCAGTCGAAGTTTGTTGTCAGTTGTTTCAAACTTCGACCACTCGCTGTCCAGTCTTCTTAATCGCTCTTCGTAATAGCTGATTGACTGCTTCCTGGATTGCGGGTCCTTTTTAAAGTTTCGGACAATTGATTCCATATTGCCGCCCGTTTATCTTTGTTGTCTGGCCAAATCCTCGAAACGATCCATTTTTCTTCTTTTA